TTTTGAAAATGCCAAGCTTCATTTTGTTGTGTGTAGAGGATTTTTAAGAGCTTAAGTGAAGAATCTAATGTTTGAAAAATAATTTTGAAATACTAGTAAAATTGTAATACTTTTATTTTGCTCATTTGAAGTGAGAAGGGTGCGCTTTTGGGTTAGCTCAGTTGTTTAAAGTGCCTGCTTGTGTAAACTCAGTCAGGCTCAGGGAACCATGGTTTGATCCCCAGCTCCACAGGCAGCCTGAGCCAGCCCCCCGCCCCCCCAAAAAAAAATCCTTGAAGTGAGAAGGGTAAGAAAAAACATTATTTTAAGATTCCTGCCAAAGAAATGTACAGGACTTTAAGTTCATGGAAATTAATGGATCAAGCCCTTTTCTTGTAGAGTATTTGACAATTAAGATACTGTTATTACTGTTGTGGAGGGTGTGTGTATAGCAGAACATTTCTTTTGAAAATTATAAAGATCCTCATTTTTAAAGTGATTTCATAGCCTCAAGGCTGGATAGTTGGATATTTGGATTTTCCTCAATACAGAAGTAATGTTGGGCCTTGCACTGGAAACAGTGGAAGTTCAATCATTGGTTGAATTCCTCTCTGTCTCTTCCAGGTTCCCAAGATCGCTTTCCCCCAATTTAAAAAGTATATTTTGTTTTATCCTCTATTTTCCTGATATCCCCAGCTTATTACAATAACGTTGATTTTTGCATTTTGCTCCAAATTCAGATGTTTGAACAGCTGTTTCAGAAAATATGTTCTCACCATCTAGGCCCACGAGAGTGAAATGACCAAAGCAGATATTAAGTGGTTTGTAGGCAGTGGTGCTGAAAATAGAATTTAATAATTTGTGTGGTAGAGCTATTGACTTAAGTGAAATACAAAATAGTTAATAAGCTTGTTTTTACAATAATTAGATATTAAGAAGAGATATCAGACAGATGTCTACAAATACGAAGGAAAAGAACTACCTGTTTATTAAATACCTGTTAATTTGGTGTTATTGGCAATTTTTTTGTGTGTGTGTTTGTGTTTGTGTGTTTTCATTTATGTATTTGGCATAGAGTCTCACTACCCAGCTGGGACTTGGAGTGATCCTCTTGTTTTCAGCCTGCCCCACAGTCCCGTTGTAAGCCCTGGTTCGTTGAATTTGCACCCAGTATCTTATTCATGGGCCACTTAATTATCCTTTGTTGTTTGTCTCTCTCTCTCTCTCTCTCTCTCTCTCTCTCTCTCTCTCTCTCTCGCCTTTTAATTTTCTTTTTCTTTTTGAGACAGGGTTTCACTATGTAGTTTAGGCTGGCCTTGACCTCACTTTGTAGCCCAGGCTGGCCTCAGATTGCAGGTGTGCACCTCTACTTCCAGACTTGCCTCACTGTGCCCCAGGGACGGGACCAGAATTGAACCTTGGTCCCTGCTCCTGTCAAAACAGGGGCTTAGTCCACTGAGCTATCTGGCCAGCCCTTAGGTGTTTATTTTTGAGACAGGGTGTCCCTGTGCAGTTTCACACTGACCTTGAATTCACTATGTAGCTGAGGCTGGAACTTGTGGTGATCCTCCTGCCTCAGCCTGCTGAGTGCTGGGATTTTAAGAGTGTGCCACCACACCCAGCTTTTGGCAGTGTTTTTAGTATCTCTTAAAATTAAATGATTTTTGGAGACAGCCATATTTAACCATTAGCCTAGAAAAGAAGACACATGAAAAGTACTTTTTAATTTCTTACCCAGGCTCACCAGCAGAACTCTGTGTAAACTACCATGATAAATACTAGCAGCCAATGGGTAAGAAGTTATTACAGACTTATGGGCACATTGTCTCTCATTTTTAATGGACAAGCTAAGGATTGGAGAGGCTAAATGACCCACTTAATAAGTGAGAAAATCTAGGTCTGCTCCAAGTTGGAGCGAGATCTTTTGTTGTTGTTCATAATGGGAGAGTGGTTGCCTTAGTCACTTTCTTGCCACTGAGCAAAGTACCCAACACTCATCATTTAAGAGGAGAGGTTTATTTTGGCTCACATTTTAGAAGTGTCAGCTTATGGTCTGCTGACTCAAATGCAGAAATGACAAGGGGGTAGGGGCCTGCCAAGAAGAGGGGCTCACTTCAAATGGTGGTTGGGAAGCAGGAAGCAGGGAGAACAGGGAGGAGGCCTGGAAGGGGCACTGCCTCCTGACAGCCTTGCTGGCTGTAGCACTGTGATCCGTGTACACACACACACACACACACACACACACACACGGTCCTTTGGGGGCTGTTTCAGATCTAAATCCTGGTGGTGGATTCTGACTACAGAGGCCCAAGCCAGGCTGTATGCTTGGCAGTGGCTGGCCGCTCTTGGCTCAGTGCTTGGGATTCAGGAACAGTATCAAGACCTGGCAGATCCTGCAGTGCAGCTGGGGACCTTGTGTTGTCAGGCAGCCAGTTCGGGGGTTTGGATGAAGGTGCACGGTGTGCTGTGATGACTCCTCCCTCCAGGACATTTCTGTGTGGGTGTTCCTAGGCTTCATGGCCTCTGTGGCTCCATGCCCTGTGAGCGGTCCTCCTTTTCCACCACTTGCCTCTGTTTTTGGGGCTCCCATATCACAGGGAACTCCACTGTCCTCCAGGTTCCCAAGACAGAACAACCTGCATTGTTCTTTTTACGCATTTCTCACAGTCCTGTCCCTAGCAGTTCCCAGTGTTCTTCAATGTCCTTTGTCCTCTTGAGTCAGCCTTAGAAAACTTGTACAGGTCTTTTTCCTAGTGCATAGCTGTACCCTCTTACCTGGGTTTTCAGCCTAACCCCAGTTTCTTTTCAAAGGATACTGTGAAGTTCTTTGTGTTTTGTTTTCTTTTTAAAACTAAAAATACTAAGGTGGCTTGGTTTTCAGGATATACTGTAATTCCATCCACCTAGCCCAGTGTGGCTCCTGCCCACAGGCTTGGCTTCCCCCTAGACTCACTTCCACATTGAGGAGGAATTAGTTTGGGTTTTGCCAGTGCTCTCTGCCCTCTATGCCCTTGCCCAGGCACATGGTGTGCCCCATCTGAAGCATCTTTACCTTTCCATGCCTTACTCTTTCTCCAGCTTGGAAAGTTGGCTCAGGTGTTCATAGCCCATCTTTAATTTGGTTTTCTCTGAGGCTGAGCCTGCCTACTCTGGTAACTGTTCCATCCCCATGGTCCTGTTGTAAGCCCTGGTTCCTTGAATTTGCACCCAGTATCTTATTCATGGGCCACTTAATTATCCTCCGTTGCCTCTCTCTCTCTCTCTCTCTCTCTCTCTCTCTCTCTCTCTCTCTCTCTCTCTGTTGCCTTTTAATTTAATTTTCTTTTTCTTTTTGAGACAGGGTTTCACTATGCAGTTTAGGCTGGCCTCAGATTTGTGGTGATCCTCCTGCCTCAGCCTCCCAAGTGCGGGGATTACAGGTGTACACTATCACACCTGGCCTAAAATTCATTTTATGTAGGCAGGTTTGCTTTTTTAAAAATGTATTTGGTATAGGGTTTCACTGCACAGCTTGGACTCATAGTGATCCTGTTTTCAGGCTCCCCAGTGCTGGGATTACAGGAGCGTGCCCAGGTCTTGGTCCCTGGCTCAACGTGTCTGGGGCAGGGCCTGCATATCATGTTGTGCCAGGGTCGGACCCTGGTCCCGCACTTGCCTAAGCAGGCACTTAGTCCAAAGAGCTATCTCTGTGGTCCTGCTTTGCTGTTAGAAAGTGAGAAAAATATCAATATTTCATAATTAGTATTTGTTTTTAATTGCATCTTACCTGGGATGAAGAATCAGTGCTTTCTTATTTGAATCATAGATCACTTTATGTAACTGGTTATGGCCTTCTGTTTTGAATTTTGGGGGGGTTCTTAAATTTTCTTTTTAAAAAAATTTATTTATTTATTTATTTATTTATTTATTTGGTCCATGGTCTTGCTACACAGCTCAGACTCATAGTGATCCTCCTGTGGCAGCCCCCCCAGTGCTGGGATTACAGGTGTGCCCCACCACAGCTGGTTGCATGTTGTCAAAGGTAGAACCTAGGTCCTTGCACTTGCCAGACAGGCACTTAGACCACTGACCTATCTCCCCAACACTTCTTGAATTTTCTGTGTTTCGAAAAAAATTGCTATTGGTGCTTTGTTTGTTTGCAGTGCTAAGCATAGGTCCCGGTAAATCAAGCATGCTGGGCAAGTGCTATACCCATGTTACGTCCTCAGCCTGAAGGGAAAAGTTTCCTCTTTTAATTGTTTTTGGCTTTTGGCTATACTGAGAATAAAACCTAGGACTTTTGCACTAAGCTAAGTTCCAATCCCATTTGTGTTTTGACACAAGCTTGAGATAAAGTTGTCCAGCCTGGGTTCATAGTTAAGATTCTCCTGCCTCAACTTCACAAAATGCTTTGAATTTTTCTATTAATGTTATTTTATTTGTAGTCATCATGATCCTCTTGTTTTTGCTTTTACTTTTCACATGCATTTGTGGTTGTTTTTTTTTTAACTTTCCATTCTTGATTTTTGCCAGTGAGGGAAGATCAAAAAAGGATTCTTAGAATTGAGTCATTAACATCATCATTATTACAAGTGCAAGGGCCTGAGTTCAATCCCTGGTTCCACCAAAAAAAAAAAAAAAAAACCAAAACATCATTTTGTTATAGATGCTTGTATAGGTGGGTTTCTTGTTAACTATGCTGTAGAGAAATAGAATGCTCGTTTCCTGCTTGTCTTTTTCTTACAGAAATTTATAATGTTCATTTCTATGTTCATTTTTGTATCTTTTTACTGAAAATAGGGAAAAACTTTTGTCTTTATTTCATCAAGCATGTCAGATGAGATCAAATTAGGTATAGGTAGTCTTGGATACTTGGAGGGGTGCTGTGTGTTGCACCCCCAGGGCCTTCTTTGTGCTTGGCAGGTGTTCTCCCACTAAGCTGTACCACCAGTGTAGGAGACATTTGTTTTGATTGGCATTCCTTTACCTCTCTCTTTGAGCTGCTGTGCCCTGGGAAAGTATATATGGCTTTTTAGATGTTTACTCACTACCTGGCAGGTGGGCCAGTTAAATAATAAACTTTTTTGATGTATGTGATAAAATACATGAAACAAAATTTACCATCTCTTCACTTTAAGTAGATTCACATTGTTTTCCAGTCACATGTAAGGTATGTGTGTGACTGAGAATTGAACCCAGGGAACACAGAGCAAATCCCCAGACCTATTTATTTTGTGACAGAGTCTCACGAAGTGGCACAGACAGGCTTTGTGTTGCTGTCCTCCTGCCTTAGCCACCTGAGTAGCTGCGATTACGGGTGTGCACCACCACATCTGACCTCTTGTGTTTTTAGTTGTGGTGGGGCATGAGTATGCTCTCATGTCAGCCGATGTATATATACACTATTGCATTGCATTATTTTATTAAAAAATAGTATGTATATGTGAAACAAAACTGAAATGATTTGACTGTGCTATTCAGTGACAATGGCAAGTTTCATCACTACCCCCAGTCATGTCAACCCTCTCCTGGAAGTCAACCCTTTTCCCAGTTTCTAGTCAGTTGTGTGTACATATTGATCAGTTTATGTACATAAGACTTGCTGTTCTTAAATGTTTATATAAAAAATGATCATCCATATAGCTAAAGCTTTTTTTTTTTTTAATTTTATTTATTTATGTGTGTGTGTGTGTGGTCAGCTCAGCCCACCAGGGGGCGGGGCTGGCTGGCATGTGGTGCTGGGGGATTGAACTGCGGTCCCTGTACTTTGCTAAGCTTGTTCTAAGTAGGTGCTTTAGACCACTGAGCCATCTCACCAGCCCTAGCTAAAGCTTTAAGAACCTTCTCTTCTTCCTTTTCCTCCTCCTCTCTCTCTCCCTCTTTTTCCTTCTTTCCTTCTCCTCCTCATTCTCTTCTTCATGTTTTGTGCAGGTCAGCTTATGTAGCCCAGGATGGCCTCAGATTTGCAGTGATCCTCCTGCCTCAACCTCCTGGATGGTGGGATTACAGGCATGTGCTACCATGCCTGGCCCTTATTTTCTTAAGCTAGATCCCTAAAAGAATTATTTCTGCATCAAATTATATACATTATATTCTGTGCAGACGTAGTGTACCTTTTTCTTTTTTTCTTTTGGTGGAACTGGGGATTGAACTCAGGCCCTTGCACTTGCTAGGAAAGTACTTATTCTACTGAGCCATCTTCCTGGCCCCTTTTTTTCTTTTCCTTTTTTGGCGGTACCAGGGATTGAACTCAGGACCTTGCACTTGCCAGGCAAGCACCTATTCTCCTGAGCCATCTCCCTGGCCATATTGTGCCATTTTCTATGCCACCAAAAGTACATTTGCTATCAGGAAGCATTTTAGTAAATGACTTTTAGAACTCTCTGAAGAAAATTAACTAAGTCTCTGTTTGCTGAAACCAGTTTCCTTATAGGCAATTATTACTTCAGTTCTTTTCTCCTTCCTCAAAGGTTCTCTTAAATGTCTTCTTGGAGTCTCAAACATGGAAGTGACTGGCACGTCTCTGAAACGTGGGTACCTTGTGGTCGAAGGTGATGACTGTGTGGGCCGAGCTGAGGAGGTAAAAAAACAGAAGATCTCAGAATGCTGCCTTCTCAAAGCGGAAGGTGGGCTGGACAGTGACTGTCTGCCCAGCAGCGAAACAGAGCCCCAGCCACGAGAAGATGTCGGTGCTGGGAAAGGTGAAAAGAATTCGGGCGCCCAGCTGGAGGCAGAGGAGGAGGAAGATGGCTTTTCAGAGGAGGGAGAGGAAGAAGAAGAAGCAGAGAGCTTTGCAGAAATGATGAAGCATGGGCTCACCGAGCTTGATGTGGGCATCACCAAGTTTGTGAGTTCCCATCAAGGGTTCTCAGGGATCTTGAAAGAAAGGTAAGTTTAGCTTACATCTAAGGTTATTTAGTTGCATTAGTTTTTTCTTTAGGAAGAAATCAACAATACACTTTTCTATTTAGCTTTTTCTCACCCCAAGAAATAATTATACTTATGCTCAGTGAAGAGTAGGGTAGAAAACTGCCTAAATGGGTAAATGGTGTGATCAGGAGAGAGAAACAGGGTCTCACTATGTAGGTCAGCCTGGCCTTAAACTCAGTTTATAGCCAGTGCTGGCCTTGAACTAACAGCAATCTTTCTGCTTCAGCCTCCTGAGCACTGGGATTACAGGGGTGCACCACCATGCCTGACTCCATTTTTTGATACTTTAAATAGTCTCTCTCTCTCTCTCTCTCTCTCTCTCTCTCTCTCTCTCTCTCTCTCTCTCTCTCTCTCTCTCTCTTTTTTTTTTTTTGGTAACAGGAATCAAATCACAAGTTTGTGCTTGCCAGGCAGGTAGTACACCACTGAGCTATATCCCAGCCAGTTCTTACCAAGGGAAGAACCTTAGTAGAACTGTTTAAATGTATAAAAGTAATTTCAAAAAAAAGAGTCAAAGTACTGAAACTGTCATACCAATTTGATTTGAAACTGTCTCATTGCTATATGTCTCTCAATAGAATTATGGAAAAAAAGAGTCAAGTTATATTGTGTACAGGTACAGATTCTCTATGATGAAGATGATTATTATATATACCTAAAATGTACCAATAAAAATGATTTTCTTTGGTAAAAAAAATAAGGTGCTAAAGAAAGTCAGTGAGAAAAAAAAGTTGCCCAATGACATGCATTGTTATTACGCAGATGGATTCTGTTCACTTTGTTAAATTCTTTTGAACAGTTTGAAGTTTTTTCCTGAATTTATCTAAAATCTTGAAACTCTCACTTAAGTGAGCCACATCTATAGTAGAAAGAACATAGTCTTCAGAGCCAAGTGGATCTGGCTGTAAATCTAGCTCAGCCATTTGATAGTTACTTAGCTCCTCTGATCTGGGTATCCATACCCCAAAAAATAGATCAAGATATCATGATGGAGTTGTTGGGAGGACTATAATATGTGTAAAGTATTTAACGGCAGTAAGCTTCAGGGTAGATTTACTGGGTTCTGACTTACAGCCATTTCTTGTACTATATTTATTTTATGATTGATTTCTATGTGGACTGTCTGATCTCTGCTAACATTAATAAGCTTTTATTTATACATTTCTGTGTGGGAGGCACAATAACTCCAGGCCTCCAATACTATTGCAAGTGAGTCTTTTTCTAAATCCTGTGAATCTGCCACATTATGACTCCCTACCATATAGCCCTTAATGGTCACCTGAGTGCCTCTGACCTATAAAATTCTCTTGGTGCATCAGTGTCATTAGTGACAATGACTTCCTCCTCTCCTATCTCTGATGAGCTAGGTTCCTAGTTCTTACCCCGCCTATTTCCCATAAGTCTCCTGCTATGCCCGGGAGGTGGGACTTCCTGCCATAGCCCGGTTGCCTAGTTACTTGTGCATTTTACCCGCCGACATCATTTCCCTATGCCTCCACTATATATACCCAGCACATCCCCTAAATAAATGAGACTTGATCAGAATCCTGTCATGTCTACGTTTCTTGCGTCTCCTGTCCTTTGTCCCCTCTTCAGTTCCCCGCTCCTCCCCCAGGTGACCTTCGTTGACTGACCTGCTGGTTCGGGACATTTCTGAGTATTGTTCTGTGGAAGAGTTTTCTAGAAGCATCCAGTATAAAACCTGAACCAAGCCAGAATGATGATACACACCTGTAATCCCAGCTCAGCAATTCAGGAAACTGACACAGGAGGATTGCAAGTTTAAGGCCAGCCTAGGCGACTTAATGAGATCCCTTTTCAAAATAGAGGGGGAAGCCCTGGGAATATAGCTTAGTGTGTCCCTATTGTACTCCCTAATACTAGATGGGGAGGAGGAGGGGAGAAAAGCCAAAGAACCCTGAATTGGGTGTGCTCCAGCATTCATTAAAAACACAAAACTTGACTTTACACTCAAGTTTTTTCTAAAATTTCTTGTACTGGTGGAAAGCCTTATCCTAAAGTTAACAAGTAAAATGTCAGTTTTCTGCAAATTTTTGTTTTATCAGATATTCTGACTTCGTTGTTCATGAAATAGGAAAAGATGGGCGGATCAGCCATTTGGATGATTTGTCTGTTCCAGTGGATGAGGAGGTAAAAGTAGTGCTCTAGCAGAAAGCACCCTCTGTGAAAAATAGCATTTCCTAGAGTTGGTGTCTTTGAATTATGTGTGACTCACTGTGAGTTCTCATGGTTAATTTAAAGGATCCTTCAGAAGATGTGTTTACAGTTTTGACAACTGAAGAAAAGCAGCAATTAGAGGAGCTCCAGCTTTTTAAAAATAAGGAAACCAGTGTTGCCATTGAGGTAAGCAGTTGCAAAGACTTATCAAAGGGTTTTTAGGGTTTTGGTTGCTTCTTTTCAGCTAAATACTAGTGTTCGGCTGAATGTGGGAGTAATCCCAGCTCTCGGGAGGGTGAGGCAGAAGCATCACCCTGAGCTCAAGACCAGCCTAAACTACATAGTGAAGTTCTGTCTCAAAAAAAAAAAGTGTTCATTAAAAATTTATACTGTTTCAAGCCAGGGATATAGCTCAGTGGCATAAGGGCTTGCCTGGCAAGTGGAAGGTCCCAGGTTTGATCCCCAGTATTGGAAAAAAAAAAATTTACACTGTTTAATCAAATGTATCCTTTCCCTGTTTTAAATGAAAAGGGATTGTACAAATAATTTTTTAGGAGCAGGAAACGTGTGTTTAGATAAGAGTATAGCAAAAGAGAACTTTATGTTTTGTTTCGCTTTGTTTGGTATAGAGTCTTGCTACCCAGCTCGGACTCAGCAATCCTCCTGTCTCAGCCTCCCCAGTGCTGGGATTATAGGCATGTGGCACCACACCCGGTTTTGGGGCCAGCAGGGCCTGTGGTACCAGGGATCAAACTCAGGACCTTCCACTTGCTAGGTAGGCACTTAATGCTGCCGAGTTATCTTCCCAGCCCTGTTTTGTTTTTATTTCAAAAACTTTAAGATCATAAATCAGGAATGAAATCTACTGTTTAGAACCGTAGGGTGGTGGTTCTGCTGCTTCCATGGGACAGAAGCGTGGCCACCTTTTCCTTCTCCAATGGGGATGGGAGGGACACTGTACACCACTACTGAGCTACACCCTGTGTCCAGAGTTTTAAGTTTGTAGTGCTCATGTTTCTTTAATTTTTTTTTTTCCATAATTTTATTGAGAAACAGCAGCAAGATGGCCTCAAACCAAATCGGTAGGACAGTTTCAACAATCAACACACTGCATACTTTCCTCCCAGTGGTTAATTGATGCACAAGATGCGGACACGATATCCTGTTTACAAACACCACTAGAACAAATCCTTCCATTCATCAAGAGAATGTAGCTATACATCTATCCCAACCAC